GGTTGAGTTCTTTTCTGCTATGTATGGGTTAGAATCTATTCATATCGTCCAGAGTCGGTTAAAACAGCTAGAAAGCATGGTTGAGGATCACATGGTTATAAAAAGAAGAAATTATGCGATCATCGATAAATGCGGTGACTCACCTTCAGTTTTGTACCACCTTTCGTAGAACTGACCACTTTCAGTGTTTATCTCAGACAACGGATATTCTGTACATTCCACTGAGAAGCAACACGTAAGTGGAAAAAGACAAACGGAATCGTCAATCGAGCACCCTTGTACCGTCTTGTCACGCGGTAATGAGCTGATAAAATATTTTATCTATCAGCAAGAATTGTCCAGACCATCTCATTCTACCTTTACATATCTGCAATGGCCTTGGAAACTACTGGTGGCCAGTTTTTATCGGTTTTACGCTGAAGCTAAGATGATGAGAAATTTTATATCAACAAACTACGATGTCCAATATGGCTTGCTATCCTAACCCAAGTGCTCTCGGCTGGTAATAGCCATCATGTTGAACAACCTACAATCGCCCATCTACGAAAGAGTCAATTAATGGCACTCGAAAAATGCCTAAGGTGACACTGAACGTCGTTATCCTTGACAAAAAAGCTGTTGCAAAAATAACTAAAACGACAAGGCATGGCTTATGAGGAGAATTTTCTCGAACATGTTAAGAAAAAATTGTTGACGTTTTGTTGACCCTAAGCTACCTCACTACATTTTGAAATAACGGATAAAAAGATAAAGCTTTCGGCATTGATCAACCCTATGGAATGCGCGATACTTTCAAATTAGTTAAGCATCGTGGAGGTGATTGAATGTATATCTATGCATACAATGATTTTCAGTTGTAGACCGATGCATCAAGTCCGTATTTTATCTTATCACATAATTTTGCCTAAAATTTGATCCTGGATGGATGAGAAGCTTCTTTATTTTAGAGCGCGAGACCGAACTAGTCACATTTGTATATTCAAGGGCATCTCTAACCACTGCGCTAGTAGATAATGGACTCCGCCAGTTATCCGTTGTTGTAAAAAAAAGGAAAAAGTTAATAACGTCTTACTTTTTATAACCATAAAGCTTCACACTCGATAAATCACGGTAGTCGTCATCACCATTCACGCCACAGCAGTTGTAAAAGCTCTATAAGACAGTATTACAGTGGCTCTTGACGAACATCTAGACTTTCACACCGATATTGCACGTAAATGCTGCCAAAGATAAATTATACCTGAAATTTATCGACAAATAAACGATCTACCGGCTGATCGTCATACCGAACGATAGTCTGAAATACTAAATTTTTAGCAGCGTGACTGGTCGTGGAAAACGTGTTAAAGGATAGTAACGTGTTCTTCCTCAAAATGTTATTTTTAATATCCCAATATCACCATGCTGCGTGGATCCTAGTATTTCTTTCATTGAATTTGTCTCCTAGTATTCATCAAGCACAAAGATCTGACTTACTTGTAGGTTACGGTAGTGCTTGAGAATCTTCGCCTTCTTTACGAACGTCATGGAATACTGGTTGAGTATTTTTTGGAATTCTGGGATAGTTATGCTAGGGGGTCCAAAGTCTTCAACACAACTATTCACCATTCTGGCTCCAAAGGAATAGAGGTTTGGTTTTGGTTGACAAAGGGCAAGATAAAACGAAAGCCTCACTCGAATTAAGCAGCACAAATATCACTGCACTAGCCAAGCCCCATATTGCTGTTCAACATGTTTTACGCAACACATATATCTATGAGGAGAGGCGAAGAATTAAGCCTTATTACATACTTGAAGAAGTCCAACAGCTACGGCCGACTTGAACTTGTTGGCGTAAACAATACACAGGACAGCAGAAAATAGCAAAATAGCAGCGGCCAAGGACATGAAGAAGATTTTTTCCTGAAATTTGAAATCGACCAGCATTAAAATCATTTTTGCTGAGAAGTGAGTGCCACAGAAATTAAACGATTCGGCAGACTGCGACGAAACGTGCCGCCCACTCGCACTGCACTAGAATAGCATACGATTCTGTAAGTAACAGCTGGATTGCGTTCTACAACTGGTCGTTAGATTAGATAATACGACCATTTTCTAACTTCTATGTAAGCTTCCACATCATTACCGTGGATGTTTTCAGTGCTGCTCGCAGCCGAACCACATTCTGCCCACGGACTATGTTAACGCTGAACATTTGAATCAGCAACACTACACAGAGCAGGACCAATACGGCGATCGCCTTACGATTTATCATTGGCATGTTCGTGTCCAACAGTTTTATGATGTCAGCACTAAAAGTACAATTAGAGATAGAGGACAAAAAGATAAAAGGATCGACGTTATTAATCTCTAAGGGATGTATCATGCATTCGACTTTGCCAAGCATCGTTGAAAGTGATGTAATGCACCTCTGGGCAATACGATGATTTGTGGTTGTATGTCAATCTATCAAGTCGTTGTTTTTATCCTTTCATACAAGTAGTAAGGGCGCGTGTCGCGCAGTGATCGAAGGCAACAAACAAGTGGAATCGATCCCCGCGCCCATGGCCCACAAAGCCCTCCATCCCTCTGGGATGGACAAATTGCTACCAAACCTGGGAGGATAGCAGCACTGGCTCGATACATCGGCAGGCTACTGCCAGTCATTGTAAAGACCAGATATGCTTTCAATCACCTTCAGACGATGCTTAATGAAGTCGAATGCACTGCGCATCCCTCAGGGATTGATCAACGCCGAGAGCTTTATCCTTTTATACAAGTATGTTTATACAAGTAGTATGAGTATCAATTTTCCAACACCGAAGTAGTAGAAGACTTAGTTAGTATGAGTGCGCGAGATCGGATCAGCGACCAATCCAGTGTGTACTGTAGAGCGCCTTTTACCACTGTGCTACCTGCGGTCGTAATAATATGACCTGTACAGCTGATTCTGTTAATTTAACACATGACACCCGAAATCCATGGTTTTCCAACAACTGACGATAAGTTCTCGATCAGTAGAATATTTGAGGGGTTGGGAACGCCCACTGATCTATCGAGCCAGTGGTGCTAACTTCCCATACAAGTCTGGTACCAATTTGCCAACTCTGAAGGGGTGGAAGGCTTAGTAGCCACGAGTGCGGGGATCGATCCCATGTGTGTTGCAGAACCCTCGGACCACTGGGCCACACGTGCCTTTCACCTTATGAAAATAAAACAATTTGTTCGCTTTGATCGAAAATTTGCATATTCTGGAGATTTTTATTTCAATTTATGGACTTCGACGTGAACGAGATATGTCAGCCTACAGTTGGAAGCGGTCATCGTTTTCGCATCATGTGCACTGTTCTCAATGCAATTGGAGAGATTTCCAAGATACCGAGAGCTTCGAAGCACAGTTAAACGGATGATTAACAAGTGTGAAAAACTCATTTTACATTCTCTGATAGCAGGCTGAATTCAAAAGCTCCCAGGTGACATGTATAGGTGCCATTTCGCTTCCTTTAGCACAGTAGTCGTATTGGAGTACACGTAAAGTCCATGCTGTGATCTGTCTCGTTGCCACCACATTCGTTGCAACGTATAGTGATTTCAATACAAAAGTCACTCCTTGTTGCAAATAGGTTAATATGTATGTCTAAATCCTGAGCAACGAACTTACCACTCCGACTTATTCTTACACTTTTTAAGGAATGTTTTGCATTATTCTAATCAAAGTTGTCAAGAAATGTTACTATTTGTACTAAAATTAGACGGGTGATCTGAGCATCCAGAAAACTCTGCGTTGCTGAGAAGCGGTCAAAACACATGAGCATTTTGTTGCCTTTCTACTGCTACTGTAATTACTGGAAAATGTTACATTGAATTGTAACTGTGACCTGAAGTCTTCCTAACCCAACGAATTTTTTCGTGACCAGTTGTCTTACCTTTCCAAGGTGATGTAGGCGAATATCTCCAAAACCATGACTGCACATAGTAACAGCATCGACAAGCTGAATGCAGAGGTAGAAATGTTGACGAACAACTGTCTTCGAAATGGCGTCGCTCGACAGCTTAGCAGCACCATCTAGTCCGAACTATGAAAACTGAAGCTGCACTGAATGATAAGGATGTAGCCATTCCACGTCAGCAGTAAAGAAAAAGGAGATAGTAAATGATATCTATTGTAACTTCAATGGTGCTGAGATATTTGCAAAACTCCGGACCTTAGGTGTCCGCGTTAGGGAACGAACGCCCTATTGTCCTTTCCGGGGAGTAGCTCGTTCACCACCACACCATGTAGGTCCTTCGTTTCGACTATCTTTCAGCTAGTTCTATCGATTTCTGCCATCAGCAATCACCCTTCAATGTGATTGGCAGAACTAAGAGACAGGCGGAACAACTGACCTGCATGGTGTGGTGGTGAGCGCATTAGCTACCGGAAAGGACAATAGCGCGTTCATTCTCCACCGCAGACACCTGTAGTCTGGAGTTTTGCAAATATCTCAGCATCACTGAAGTTATATTTCTCAATATACCCTGCGGTTAAAAAGAGTGCGCAGTAAATAAAACGGTTAGGATTGTGATATCTACCGTATTCCTTCACGAACTGTCCTGATCCAAGGTTGGTCTAGATATTGGTGTTGCTGTTCGATGGCTGACGTTTCGGGACTTCGCATTCCTCAGGGCCGTGCTATTAGATCACCCCTATGCTGTTCACGAGGGATGACTTATCGTATTGAACGTATATGCAGATATTGCTGTAGAACATATATAGAACATATAGATATATAGATCTTTTCAGATAGTATATGAGTAGCTTACGAATTCACACTTAAGCAAGACATATTCTGAGGTGCTTTCTCGAACATTCCTCATTTCTAGTTACTGGCTAGTACGTAGTTAATTTTGATAATTTGTGGTTCTATTTGGCCATGGGAGCATCTACATTGTTGAAGCAAAGTAAAAGGAAATGCAATCATCTAATGTTTCCTTTCAAAAAATGGAAAATATGAAAGCGTTTGGTGATCATCCATGCTCTAGGGATGCGTTATGCGTTCGTCTTCATCATCCATCTTTACCTGTACCATTTGTACTCCCGTTGATCATCGAGTGACCCGAGCGGGCACCAGTAAACCTTCCATTTTTTCCTGTTGCGCGCAAGAGTACCTTGGTGGGTTCTGCTCTCTATAGGGACTCGTTGAGCATCATACCTCTCTTCTAGGCTTTTCGTGAAGAACTCTGACCATCTAGTCGGCGGTCTTTCTGCAGTGCATTTGACATGCTGAGGAATCTAGTCCCTAACGGCTCTTGTCCATCGTTTGTGGTTCATTCGAATTACGTGTCCGGCCCACCTTATGTTCGACTGTTTGGCGTCCAGAACGGCACCTTTGATTTTTGATCGTTAACGCAGGTCGGAGCTTCGGATCCCTTACTTGCGTGAAACGGGAGACTCCTAGCATCGTCCTTTCGACTGCGCGTTGAATAATGCTGAGTGATTTTTCATCCTGCTTACGAAGCGACCAGGTTTCTGACGTGTACGTTAGGGCAGGAAGTACCGTTAAGTCGAAAGAGTGGGCACGGAGTCAGGTGTTTTTATTGTTCTCTTCACTATATCCTCGATGCTCTTGAAAGCTCCCAAGCCAGTCGTTTCCTTCTGCTCAACTCTGGTGTTAAGTCGTTCAACGTATTAATTTCCCGACCTAGATAGACATAACAGGAGCATTCGGAGATATTCGTTCCGTTGGGCGTGAATGGGGCATATGGAAACAATCCCTTTTTCATGAACATCGTTTCTGTGAGATTTAGTCGAAGACCAATCTTTCCACAAGCTTTATCAAAGTCAGCAAGCATACGCTCCTCTTGGCTAATGTTTGGTGTAATAAGGACGATGTCATCAGCAAAGCGGAAATAGTGTAATTTCCGACCATCGATTTTCACTCCCATATTATCCTATTCCAATGTTCGCATGACGTCCTGGAGGGTGGCGGTAAATAATTTTGGCGAGATGGTATCGCCTTGCCTAACTCCTGTTTTGACATGAATGATAATATCGTTGTAGAATGGTGATATCTTGCTTGTGAATTTTTTGTGCAGCTCACGAAGAATCTTTACGTAGATTCCTTGTCTATCAAGATATCCCACAACTGCTTCTATCTCAGTTGAGTCAAAGGCTTTCAAATCGATGAAAGTGAGAGCACCCTTTTCTACTCTCGCGACACTTCAGTGAGTCTTGTTATCGTCCGGATGTGGTCCATAGTACCAAATCTTTTTCGAAACTCTGCTTGTTCACTTGACCTTGAAGAACGTGTGGTCTTCTCTGTAGAACTTCTCCATGTCCATATGAAACGCTTCTTCTTCTTCGTCATAGTTTGATGTCATCGCGTAAACGACGAAGATTGTCAAAGCCGGAGTTGATCTACGTCTTTTTAATCGTAAACGTCCGATTCGAGTTGTAAGTTGTTCGAAAGAATCGATGTTTATGGGCAAACTCATGTTGACGAGAACGCCGTCGCCGCCGACTCCTGTACTGTCGCATGTTCCGAGGAACAGTTCTTCTCCGGTGTCATAGATGGCGTTGAAAAGGTGGCGTCTTCTCTTCTCGGCTAGACCGATGGCGTCGTACTTCATCCTTCTTGCTTGCATGAGCAAGTCTTCTATCGAGGAGTAGGATGCGCATTGTAGGTACAAATCGTCACCTTAGTTCCTCGTGATCCAGGCAGCTTCCATTGACCCTGAGACTTCAACAGCCTCTCCGTGGTCGTCCTACCCAACGCTGCCGAATTCGGGGGTTCTTTCGGGCATAGGGTAATGAAGCCCGTTTCTTTTATTGTTTTTAGCTTTTTGATACCCACGTATAGCTTGCTGGGCTCTGAACGTGGGGCTTGGGTATACTCACGAGTATCTTGCCAGGCTCTCCCAGAGTGGACATGGAGCTTATTTGTTGGAAGTGACTCCTAACCGCCTCCCATGTACTTCCCAGTCACTTGATTGCAGGCTTTTGGCCGAATTGACTCGTAGAATACAATCCGCATAAGCAGGAACGCACCCACACACGCACGCATGAATACGCCTAGCAAATACAGGAAGTATGTGCCAAATCAGCGCAGCAGGAACAGCGAGTTCATCCCCTGGATCCGCCTTCGTCTCAGGTAAGCAAAGGTCGCTTTCGGTCCACGATTAACCCCCTATCCGCCACCCGTGGACAAGCCGCGTAGCCTCGCGACTAACCCGCTATCGGGATCCTTCGTATGGGGGAGATCCGTGGTCATCCATCTTAGAGGTTATTAAATACATATTTCGCTCATACAGTAACTTTTGAAAAAATATCGATGTATCAAACCAATTTTTTGCTCCTACACCACTCCGGTAGTGGTTTGGTGACTCTGGAAGATTGGAGGCTTCACCCAGCCAAGAGCGCGGAAATCAACCCAGCTACCTTGTGTGTATAGCACTGCATGCGCTACACGTTCTCGTTTAATAAAAAAAACCTATAAAGCAGCAAAGTAATGAATCGCGTGGAAAAATTCGAAACAAAATTGGGATCCTCTTAAATTGATCTGAACTCAGTACCTATGCGGGATCTCCATAACACTTTCTATTGTCTTGATTTACTGGTACAACAACTATCCCCACGGTTAGTTACTATATTCTCCATTATCGCAAGCATCGCAAACAGCGCGTGTGGCGCAGTGGTTGGAGGCACCACTGCGACGCACACGTGGAATCGATCCTCGCGCACATGGCCCACCAAACCCTCCATCCCTCCGGGGTCGGCAAATTGGTACCAGACTTGTCTGGGAGGATAGCACCACTGGCTCGATATATCGATAGGCCACCGCGAGTCATTGTAAAGGCCAGATATGCATTCAATCGTCTCCAACGGATACTTAATGAAGTCGAATGCATGGCGCATCCCTCAGGGATTGATCAACGCCGAGAGCTTTATCCATTTTATCCTTTTCTCGCATGCATCCTATGCTACTAGAGTACAGCGACTATCTCCACGAATAGCCAGTATCTTCTGCATTACCGCATGAGTCTTAAGTTAACTATATTTACTACTAATTACATGGATCCTTGTATTCTAAGCCATACACTCTTCCTATGACTAGTCTCTTTGTGTTAGCGTTGCTTTCGAGTGCCGTTTAAATCAAAGGCTTCTTAAACATACCGCCGGATGAACGCAAAGCATTTCTTTCTAAAAATTGTTCGCTTTTGTCCAATACTCTGGGTAAAGAATAAACAGCTGCTAGCAGAATGGACTTCACCGCATCTGCCATGTCACGGCAAACAAATGGGCTTTCCGTGCAACTATATGTTACACATCTTTATGACCATTCAGCTGCACACTTGAAAAATATGTGAACATCTTTATTCGTAAAAATGTTAACTAACGATTAGTCACGTCCCATAGCAGGGCCATTTTCCTTTAGACGACGCATAGAGATTGCCAGATTCTCACATAACTGCTTAGCGGGGTTGATTTTACAACAGCTCCAAGTACTCACGCTGCTTGTATAATATGTATATAAACGTTATTACGCTGTTAATAAAGGCTGTTCTAACCTCGTATAACCCTTCTAATGCGTTAAACTCCTATACCGTCATTGCAGTATTCTGTGTGACCCTTGTACATCATATTATGACACCGGCCTATGGCAGAGCTGCTTTCTTGCTTCAGAGGTGGAAGTCGCATGGAAGTCGTCCGTTTGGCTCGTCGGTTGGTCGTTAGTGCCGAAAGGGTGAAGTGTTCAAAAAACAGCCCGTTTTTATTTTCATCAAATGTATGAAATGAATCGATGCTAGCATGTTTCCGATTTACTAAAGTTACACATGCTTATTTCGAAACCGACTTTCCATGAACCTCGGTATCACTAATCAATATGTATTCTTTCTTTGATGAGCTTACACGAGGTTGATAATGATGTTTATTTTCAGCTAACGTTTCGACGTCTTCGTCTCCCTCAGAGCCGATGATCCGAGTCGATGGTCCTCGCTTGCTATTCGCGAAGCTGCCACGTCGAGGCGAATAGCAAGCGAGGACCATCGACTCGGATCATCGGCTCTGAGGAAGACGAAGACGTCGAAACGTTAGCCGAAAATAAACATCATTATCAACTTCGTGTAAGCTCATCAAAGAAAGAATACATACACATGCTTAGTTGAGAAAATTGCAGATCACCCTGGTCTTCACCGACGACTCCAATGGTGCATCACTGTGTTTAACACACTTTTATGAAAAGAACAGCCTCAATTAAACGTATAAGTATGTTTCAAGGAAAATTTTTGTACCTGCCTAGACTCCCAAGTTATTTTCAATGGAACATTCTAATGTTGTCGCTACCAATAAACTGAACATTAGTTAAACTAAATCTACCAGAAAAGGCTTGCAGACAAATTAATCTGGAGCAACGAAAACTTGAGTTGTATATCAACAAGAATATCGAAGCCGAACAATTTATGAATCGTGCCAATGTAAGGTGTGGTGGTACCGCACGCAAACACAATTCGCGTCTTCACTGAAAGTAGGGTCTTTATGACGATATCCTTTATGCGGAGCATCAACACTGTAACACAAGTAAAACAGCAATGCAGATGCAGTTGCTATGATGGAGACCTGAGGTATATAAATGAAACAACTTATTCCTTTGGAACCAACAGCACAGGAAGAAATCGTCCATTCATACATTGAGGAAGCTTGCATTAGAAAACCAAGTGAGGTTAGCATGGCTAGATTGAAAATTGCAAAACATATGAAAGCAGAGTGGTACCGCAGTGATATTTGCAGCTTTCAATACGCACAAAGCGCTAGTTCCAGCTCGCCACAGAGCCACCAAGTTCTCCGTTCCTTCGAAATCAGCTTGGTGTCAGACTTATCTGGGACCAAGTTGCTACCTCCAATCCTCAAAAACTGGCAATTGCCTGTGACGATCTGAAACCATCACAGCACGGTTATCCCAAGATTTCATAGAAAATCGGCTCGACTAAGATTTAACGAAATTCATAAGGAAGACCAAAAATTTTCATGCAGAAGCCGAACCCACACGCAAAAAGTTGGAACTGCTTTTCTTCATACTTTACGTGACCCAGCGTAACATGTCATGCCAACTCCAGTATTTCTCACACTGGGTTCTCTTCCTCGCATCCATCATCCACAAAGCGAAAAGCATATAGATACAACCAATCAAATAGAAATTGTAAAGGATACGGAAGGAAATATTGCTATGATGGGCCATTCAGTCATAATATTATATGATGTAATGACTGCTGTGAGATTAGAGTAGGCAATATGATTGTCAAACAAATCAAATATTTAGCAGAGAAGTGGACAAAATAAAGATCACAAAATGTTACTTCTAAGTATTAAAAACTGCATAATTGTTTCTCTAGGTGCCGAATTGTAGGAGACACAGTAATATGGCAGCTAGATCAACTGAAAAAGCAATCATGTCACCAACATTTTGAATCAACGCCATCCTTTTCCAGGTGGCGTAAGAGAGCTCCTAAAGACCCTTGTGACCATGGTCTTCACTGGCCATGCTGTCATTTCTGAAATATCCACTTTCACTACTATGCAAAACTATTCCTTTTCCAAATAGTAGAACTCTGCTAATAGCAGAGATCGATAGAATTAGTTGAGAGACAGGCGAAACAAAGGACTTGCATAGTGTGGTCGTGAACGCGTTACTCCCCGGAAAGGACAATAGCGCGTTCGTTCCCACCGCAGACACCTAAGGTCTGGAGTTTTGTAAATATCTCAGCGTCATTGAAATTCGAATTCTTCTTGCTAATCGAATGATTTGTAAGATGTACAGATGCATTTTAAATGGAATCAACATCGCTGCCATATTTTTCCGATGCCACTCTACAAATAAATTAGAAGATTTGCTAATAAATTAAGCACGATTTCTACATCGATATATTACAGCAAATTTTAACACCAGCGAAGATCTTCGGAGTAAACGGACGACAAGAGGGTAGAAAGAAGTTACCACAACGCGGATATGAAGCTCGAGCATATGCTCATTGATAAATAAACGATCCTCCAAATGGCGTGAGTGAAATCAATAACTTTTGCTTACTGGAATTTCGTGAAGCTGGAATATTTTTATACGTTAATTTGTGGACAAACGAGAAGAGTAGGCAAGTCCAACTTGGATGAAATCAATAGAAAAAAAGCAATAAAAGCAATTTTGAAAAAGCGGAGGATTTAGAAAAACCAAGAAATACTATCTTATTGGCAAAGCAAATTTTTTGTCCGCGAAATGAACTGACAGGTTTGACGATAAAGGAATGATTTACCACAGAATGTTCCACAGCTGAACTCAAAAGTAAGGACAAATGTAGTGGATCATCGGTCCGACAAGGCTATACATCACGAAGTATCCCGTAAAGAACTGGAACTATGCACACACTAACGAAATGGGATGCTTTGCCAAATACGGACGAAGAACGGTGTATGTTATCATAGAGTTTATCTCAAGAACGTAAACTCTACTGAGCGTGGAATTTGGTTGAGACGTCGCCTACAATACATGGAAAGATATCACTAAAGTACAAACTTCTTTGGAAACCTACCATTGCGGAATTAAGCGAATGGGTGGGCCGCGTATTGCCCAACCACATAA